GAGCCCCTGAGGGAATCTAAAAAGTGAGAACTCCAAGGAGAGAACCTTTGAGGACATTAATAATTTAAGGAGTGAGCAGGGGAAGAGGCCGGTAGGTAGATGACACCAGGATGAAGAGCAGAGAGGTTAAAAATGTCAGTCACGAGAAGTAAATTAAGAAGAAGAATGAAATCCCAGGGATATTTTCATTAAAAAATCACTGTGATGGGATGGATGTAGAAGCCAGCTGGCTTAGGAGTCAATGGGTGGTGAGGAAATGGACACATGGCTCTAGGCTGCATTTTATTTTATTTTTTTTTATTTTTTTTTTTTAATATATTTTTTTATTGATTTTATACAGAGAGGAAGGGAGAGAGATAGAGAGTCAGAAACATCGATGAGAGAGAGTCATCGATCAGCTGCCTCCTGCACACCCCCTACTGGGGATATGCCCGCAACCAAGGTACATGCCCTTGACCAGAATCGAACCTGGGACCCTTCAGTCCCCAAGCCGACGCTCTATCCACTGAGCCAAACCGGTCCCGGCTCTAGGCTGCATTTTAAATGTTGTTACTCATGGAAGAGGAGAGTTGTTGCCAGAGCAGAATGAAGGTTTTCGTAAAGTTTATTTATTTCTATTATTTTTAAGTTTCCCATGGTCTATAGCAGTGTTTCCTGAAGTGTGGTATGCATACCCCCCAGGGGTACGGGAAGAGTTTGGTAGGGGTATGCGTTGCACCGGAGTTTGGTGGGATATGCACTGCACCATGCTTAGCTGCGCCTAATTCTACCAGGGGTACTCAGCATTATGAAAATTATAGAATGGGTACACATATGTCAAAAGTTTGGGAAACGCTGGTCTATAGTATGCTTATGGGACCTGGGGTGCAGCTTGCAGTGGAGAGGTTGAGATATGAGAGAGGACCTCTGAGGAGGTGCTGCCCAGGTGGAGGATCAGTCTGAGCAAGTGATTGCTCCTTCTGAGGCTCAGAGAAAGCAGGGAGGTGGAGGCAGAAAAAAGGCCTTTGAAAATATTAATTTGGGGGACTGAGGGAGTTTATATTTTTCAGCTTCAATTTTCTTGTTGAGGAAGGAGAGAAGGTTCCCCTTGGGAAAGAGTAGATGATGGGACTATGGAAGGTTTGAGAAGAAGGTCTGAGAGGCCACCGCGGGAAACAGGAGAAACAGCCCAGGGGTGACACATCTACCTGCCTTTGCATGGTAGCCAGTGGTCGCCTTTATAAAATACAACGATCAAGACCAGTGTGAGGCAAACCGGTGAAGGCCTACGCCTTGAAACGATAGCTGGTGACATTGAGTTGAGCTTTCTTGCCTCTACTGCACTGCGTCAGTTAGTGCTGATCCACAGGAAGGACAGACATCTTGGCGCATGCGTACTGCACAGGCAAAAATGACAGAGCCTTCACCTCACCACCCTGCAAGCAGCCTTCCCAAGGGCTGAGCACCAGTGACTGGTGCTTGTTATTGGTTTGCTTTCCAATTTGATAGCAAGTTTCTAGGAGGGGAAAGAAAGACGAATCCAGGCCACAGGCCCTCCAGGCTCTCTTCAATGGCCCGGTTGTGGCCTATTCACTGGCAGCAAAAGGAAACTGTTCAGCTGCTTGGGAGGAAAGTGAGCTGGGGGATCGTTTGATAAACCCAACATAGGTCGCTGCCTGGGAATGTTGAAGATGCCTACACTGCCATTGTATCCCTTCACCCAACCATTTTGTGTGGGATGTGCTGCTTCCCATCAGCTTTTGTTTGATGATCCAAGTTCTGTCATGTTTCTGTCAAGTGCTGACTCTTAGAGGTTGGAATTAAGTGTGTGTGTGGTTTTTTGTTTGTTTGTTTTTTTAAAGCATTTCCAATTCATCTTACTTCTAGGATTCTAAATGATTTTAGTTAACAAACTGAGACTACCTCAGCATTGGGACACTGAGAAGTATATGGATCCTCTGTCACCTGGATTTCCTTTTCTATCTTGGAATAGATGGAATGTTTATGGTCCCTTCACCTCCCAAATTAATATGTTGAAGCCGAGTGTGATGGTATTTGGAGGCGGAGCCTTGGGGAATTAGGGTGAGATTAGATGATAAGGGTGGGGTCCTCTTGGTGGGATTAATGGCTTTATAGGAAAAGTAAGAGCCATGTCCTCTTTTTCCATTCCCTCAGACCGAGGAAAGAGGACCATCTGCAATGAGCTCTCGCCAAAAACGAAATCAGCTAGCACCTTGATGTTAGACATCCAGCTTCCAGAACTGCGAGAAAATAAATTTCTGTGGTTTAAGACACCTAGTCTGTGGTCATTTGTAATGGCAGCCAGACTTGACTAGTATAGCATCACAATGTAAAAACCAAACAACCAACGCAACAAACAAACAAACAAAGGAAGTACATGGTCACAGATTTTTACCCAGCCAACATCCTTCTAACACTACTACCGTGTTTCCCTGAAAATAAGTTCTAGCGCATGGAAAGATAAGACATCCCCTGAAAATAAGACCTAGTGCAACTTTGGGAGAAAAAATTAATATAAGACACTGTCTTATTTTCAGGGAAACAGGGTAGTAAGAATCCTCCTTAGTTCTTGAGCAGCAAGGCAACTATAGGATGCGATATGATGCCATCCTTGGAGGGGAGAGTGCCCAAACCTGGCATATAGCCCTTGTCCTTGAGCCTTTCATTTCTGAAGGCTTATGTGGGCTCTTAATCATGGCATCATTAGGGTTAAATTTCAGATGGAAAATTGTATGAAACACATGCTGAGTACACTTGGTCTCAAGTGGTATTAAATCACCTTGTTATTTATCACCCTCTAGAATGCTCTAATTTACATGTGGTCTCTTCTCATATGGGTACTTCAAGTAAATCTGAATTTGTTTATACAATTTTTATGGGTACTATAAAACCACAATTGAATTTCAGGCCTTTGTAGTCGCCCAGCCTTGCAAGATGCTCTCCAATTAGAAATAATTGCTGTTAATGCTGTTATGAGTGGTGGATGCCCACTATACCCAGACCTTTGTTCTACTAAATCCCCTAAGAGTCTCTTCTTTATTCTTCCACTAAATAGACAGGCCCCTAGAATATATGCTTTTGGAATTGTAATAGAGGAGCAATATTGTGCCTCTCTGTTAATTAACCTTGTTAACCAAGGATTTGGAACTTCAGTTGGTTAGTTAGAGGGCCTTTTGATCCTCTCAATATACATCAACAGTCGAGGAGGATGTCACTCTTGTGAAATAACATGCCTTTTCTTCTTTGGCATCTACCAAACAGCTTTATTATTCTTTGAGTAATGATGCAATATTCCTGTTGAATGAAATCATGTGTATAAAGTGCTGAGATTCGTGCCAGGCAGAAGAAATATTAGCTACCATTTTTATGATCATAAAACAAGGTGTGTTTTTTTTGTTTTTGGTTTTTTTTTTAAAGACTTTCTGAATGGAAAGGAGATACAGGAGCAGCGTTGTCAGAACCCTACGGACAGCTCCAGATAAATCAGTCCACACTGGATTCCAGACTCCACATACTTATCGCTCTAAGAGCAATTTACCCCTAAGATACTTAAACTCTTTTGTTTGGACTCTCACAGGGTGTCCCAAAGTTCCTCTCACCCCTTCCTGTTCCCCACACAAAAGAAAGGAAGAGACAAAGGCTGCTGTTTTTCTTACAAGGCAGGTGCCCCGTTCAGCCTGGGAAGGAGTTCCAGGGTATGGTAATGATCGCATTTTGCTTAATCTTCCTTTTATGGTGAAATCTCCAAAGCATTAATGCAGTTGGCCAGTTGATTAAACTGTAATGAAGGCAACACTGATGAATGCAAATGCATAAAAATTGTCCATCCCATGGAAAAACATCTCAGCAGGAATCCCAACTTGCAATACTAAATTAAACTAACCACATGAGTGTGTCTTCTGGATTAATAGCAAGCAGTTTCTCTAATTCAGTAGGATGTCGCTTTCAGAGTGAGAAGCAGCCATTCTTCGATCTCTTTTTGGAAGAAAAATGTGGTGCCATTCAGAGTTTGATGTAGGGTCACTGCCTATCAGGGATTTCAGGAACTGGACAGCAAGGCTCCCTCACAGGGGCCCCCGATGTACCTTCAGCAGTATTGGCACTTACTCTGTGGGCGTCTGGGGCAGGGAGAAGCAAGCATTTGTGTGGTTACTTTGGAAAGATTGATACAGGAGGGAGGCTGGCTTTTTCTACACCAGGGTGCGCACAGAGGTTCAAAAAGGTTAAGGTGAAGAGCAAGATGACCGGACATCCAGTTGTGTGTCCTCTGGAAAGAGGGCACTCGTGCTACACACTCATCGTGTGAGAGGGTTTTCTCTCTTTCACATCCTGTTGCAAGCAGAGATGACAAAAATGAGCTGTTTTTATTAATAACGAGGGGCCTGGAGCACAAAATTTGTGCACTGGGGAGAGGTCCCTCAGCCCAGCCTGCCCCCTCTCACATCCTGAGAGCCCTCAGGGGATGTCCTACGGCTGGCTTAGGCCTCCCCCACAAAGGGAGGCCACCAGGTTGATCAGAGGAAGGTGCCAGCCCCATCACCCTGCTGCTGCAGCCACTGCCAGTCACCGCAGCCACCAAGGTATTTTTATCAACACGGACTCCAGTCCCTTCACTATGAAAAAATGACTTTTTTTTTTTGTGGCGTTTTTAAGATGTGTCTTTCATAGGATATGACATTTATTTCTTTATTTTTCTTTTTATCCTCACCTGAGGATATGTTTCCATTGATTGTTTTCCCCCTTCCCTCTGATGGCAGGCTCGGCCACTTCCCAAGCCTAAAGCCTCTGCCTCACCTCCGATGGCTGGCTGGGAATGACCTGGGTGCTGAAGTGGTTCCTGGGACCCAAGTATGTATGAAAATTAACCGCCATCTTTGTTGGGTTAATTTGCATACTCACTCTGATTGGCTGTGGGCACGGCAGAGATATGGTCAATTTACATATGTGTCTATTATTAGGTAAGATGAAAAAAGCACTCAACAGACAAGCAGATGGCAACATTATTTACAAAATGTATTGGCTGAATATTCTAGTCCAGATAGAAGACCAAGAACGGTACTTATCGTCCCCAGATATATTTTATCAGACAAAAATCCTTCTCTTTATTGACATAAGCAGTATGTTGGGTTTTAGATATTGGGTTTTAGAGGACATTACCCATAGAGTTGGTCATTAGTTCTTTTTCTTTCCAACGAAGCGATCCATAAAATTGAAGCCGCCTATAAATTCATTTATGAGCAGTACCAACTTGACGGGCAGGAAACTAAAGAGAAAACAAGAGGAAACTTTCTCAGTTGTCATTCATAAAAGCATCGTTACAGCACAGCTGAAAAACAGTGCCACTGACCCGCTGCAGAAGAATTTGCACACGCACACATTGCTCTGCATGCCCCAGTATCACGCTGGGCTTGCCTACAAGGTGAGAGGACACCAGCTCGGGGTTCCTATACCTCTCCTTGCTTTATTTAGATTATTCAACTCACTTCTCACGTCCATTTCCAAAGCTTCCCTACACGATGTAATGATGGGCTGGAAGTGGAGTCAGAGGAACTTGGCTTGAAACCCAGCTCTGTTATGTACAAGGTCATCTCAGGTAAGTTCCTGAGCTCGGGAGCCTCAGTTTCTCCCAGTGTGAAATGAGGTCATTCGTCTTTCTTCCTGGGACTACTGTGAGGATTAGATGCGGCAGCTCCTCAGATGGCTGGCAAGGTCCAACGAAGACTGTTCATCTTCTCCACCCCCACACGCCCCTACTGACGGAGCTCTCTGACCCTGCTAATCCTGACATTCACATTGCAGAGCAAGGAGAGGGGCAGTGAACAGAGCAGGCGCAGTAAACCTGACACCTGAGCTGAGGATGGGATAAAGTAGAGGGCCTGTGCTTGCTGTCCCTCTGGGGGCATCCCACGAAACCCAGGTGGTTCCTGCCCTCCCCAGCTTCAGGTCTCTAGTAAGTGTTACCTTTCTCAGGAGCCCTCCCCGGAGCGCCATACTGAAAATTAGACCTCAACCTGCAGCCCCGATCCTACCACTCTGGAACTTCCTTTTCCTGCTTCATATTTCTTTGTAGCAGTTATGACCACCCACCATACCTTCTTTTTTACTTTATTATTTTTTTGTTTGTTCCCTCATCCCTACCGACTAGGAAGATAACTGCAAGAACTCTTGTCTCTCTTATCTTTTGCTGTAACCCCCAATTCTAGGGTCATCAGCAATGCATGGCACACACTAAGCACCCTCTAATGCATGTGAGATGTCTGAAGGAGTGTGTGCTGTGATCCCCTTCACTCAACTTCTTCATGCTTTCAAAACCTTCTCAGGAATTATGCCCCCTCAATTTGGGGCTTATCAAAGTAATATCAACTCTATAATTATTCGAAAAATTAGAAAAATTGAATCCCATGTTCTTTACAGTTGGCAAGTAGAGGCACTGTGCGGTGAACATGCACACTGCCCAATAAAGGCAGTACATTCGCTCATTCACAAGCTGCGACACGCACTGGTTTCTACACTATAAATGAGGAAATTGGACCTGGAGAATGAAGGTCATGTTCAGAGTCACAGGCTTAGTACACAGCAGGATTACAGCTCCAGATTTCCCATCTCCTTGCCAAAGACCCTTTTGCCTCCTCCCACACCTTAGCAGTCATATCAGTCATCATTCCTGGGCCAGTGAAGCCTGAGGATGTGAAGGCATGGGAAAATGATTTTGGATTAATTGTATAAAGTAGATACAATTAGCTAAAGAGAAAAGACTTGCTTATGCAGGAAGGGCACTTTTTTTTTTTTTTTTTTTTTTTTTTTTTTTTTTTTTTTTTTGCCAGGCTCTTCCCTGGAGCTGAAAACACATAAGAGTGAGCAGAAACCAACTGGCCTCTGGTCTCAAGGAACTCACGGCTCAGTGGGGAGGCAGATGATTATCTAAGGATCTCACAAATAAGTGCACCATGAGCAGTCCTAACTCCACGAGAAGTGAGATGTTCTAAGGAAGCCAGGGTCAGGTGCTAGGACAGTGTGCACTGAAGCCATTTGGGATATTCTGGAAGGCCAGGGAAGGGATGATTAAGGTAAGAGGGGGCACAATATGCGCAAATGCCCTGTACTGTTTCCAGTACCGCGGACTCTGCGGGTGAGGCTTCTCCCGGTAGGATTTGGGAAACGTTGTTGATTGGTACATTAGAGAAGTCACAGAAGATGACTGGTGTTGTTACCTTTTTAAAAACATCAGGATGTATAAAAATCTTGGTATATACAAGTACACTTTTTCTTGCAGGATAGCATCTACTATCTTTCTGACTACATATTCTGGTTCCAAAATCGGTAACAAAGAAGGACAGCTAGGGAGTAAAAAAGAAACAAACAAACAAACAAAAAGCAACCAAAATTAACAAATCAATAAAAACAGTTCTTGCACATTAAGCATAAAAAGACTAAGATATTATCATCTCTTTGCTTTGTTCCCTCCCAGATATACACGGATGTATAATATGGATACAAGTAAAACCATATTAAAGAAATGATCTGCCCAAACCAGTTTGTCTCAGTGGATAGAGCGTTGGCCTGCAGACTGAGGGGTCCCAGGTTTGATTCCAATCAAGGACATGTACCTTGGTTGCGGGCACATCCCCAGCAGGGGGTGTGTGCCAGAGGCAGCTGATTGATGCTTCTCTCTCATCGATGTTTCTAGCTCTCTGTCCCTTTCTCTTCCTCTCTGTAAAAAAATCAATAAAATATATTTAAAAAAAAAAAGAAAAAGAAATGATCTACTAGTATAAAGTAAGTCTTTGAAAACGAATTTCCTGTCCTCTCCATGAGAGGCAGAATGGGGCCTTTGTGTCCCTTCAGTGATTTTCAGTCCTCTGTGGCATCGGGGATGAGGGGAGCAGGGAGCTGGGGGGCAGAAAGGGAATGTGACTGAGTGCTGGGGAGACAGGTGAGCAGACCCCGGCTACCAGGTGGCTGCCAGTGAGACACATCTTTGACAAACCATTCATCTTAAACTCAACATCTGAAATATTAGCACATCTGAGTCAAGAATAACTTCTGAGACTATTTATAAATCATGCTGAATCCTAGGGAAATCTATTTTGCAACAACTTTTAAAAACAGAAAAGCTCCGCCGGAATAGCTCAGTTGGTTGAGAGTTGCCCTGTGCACCCCAAAATTGCCAGTTTAATAACTTCTCTAAGTATGTCCTCAGGTGAGGATTTAAAAAAGCAAAAAGTCAAACAAACAAAAAACAGAAAAAATAAAATAGGCTATCATTTTTTTAAATGCAGTTTCTTTGATATTACAGGATATACTTACCCAGTAGTACAACCTTCAAACATTCCAGTTTTAATAAAAAATGGACACACAATTGTGGTCTTGATCCCCTTTATTTTCTGGGCAAATAGTTCCATTAAAACAGATTCAGCAAATCCAACGGCTGCAAATTTACTTGCACAGTAATCTGAAAAAGACAAGTAATGCTGATGGACCTTCTGAAGTTTTAAAAGTGGCTTTGCATTAACTCTCCTCAAAACACTAACCGACAGAAACTCAGACAATGATTTCAGAGTTCTTGTTTTGTGTGATCTTGGTCTCCTCCCACTGGAAGAAGTGCCAAATGAGTGGGGAGGTACATGGTCACATAAAGTTGATGAAGACCGAGTGGATGCTGTGAGGAGTCACCTACACTCACCCTGCTAGCTTTTCCTTCCACGTTCATGAGTGGTCAGACATGTGCTAGCTGTTGCATGGACACACGGTGTGTGTGTCTAGGCCCGAAGAATTCCAACCCAGTTGGGGCAGGGAGGCACATAATAGAGGAGATACAGGAAGTGATGTAGCAGTCTAGACAAGAGAGGGCAGCCTGGGTCATGATCACACTTTCTTCAGACTCTAACTCTTCCTCCCACTTTCAGAAGAAAGACAAAGGACTCAGGAGCTTGTCCGTTTTGAGCTCGCTGTCTTCCATCACTCTCACTTCAAGTAAACCTGGGTTTTCAATCTGCTGAATGGAAAAGCTTGCAGTAGGAAAGGCGTGGAGGTGTGCTCCTCCTTCCCTTTGCCTCACACGCCAAAAGAAGTATCTGAGGTGTCCTGCTTGCTCTGTTCAGAAGCGGCTACCACAACTGGCAAAAAACGGGAGGTGCCGAAACCGGTTTGGCTCAGTGGATAGAGCATCGGCCTGCAGACTGAAAGGTCCCAGGTTTGATTCCGGTCAAGGGCATGTACCTTGGTTGCAGGCACATCCCCAGTAGGGGGTGTGCAAGAGGCAGCTGATCTGTGATTCTTTCTCATTGATATTTCTAACTCTCTATCCCTCTCTCTCCCTCTCTGTAAAAAAAAAAAATTTAAAAAATCAATAAAATGTATGTAAAAACAAACAAACAAACAAACAAAAAAACACAAAAATGGGAGGTAAGTGCCAGGTGTAGGGATGTCAGGTCCACTGCTGCTCAAGAAGGCAGGTAAGACCACAGGAGGAGGGAGGGGAGAGGACCCTGCCCAGCTTCTAGGACCATCGGAGTCATTTGGCACAAATGCAACTCACTGAGTCCCTCAACCCTGGAGATTAGGGGAGCAGCGCTGGCCCAGGGAGAGGGATTCTGGTTACAAATAACCCCGTGGTGGTTCGGGTACAGGGGAGCCAAGATCCCCATGGTGGGAATTACAAAAGGCTTACACTTGTTCCTAAGGCCAGCTGGGTACTGAAGAATCCTTCTGAAGACAGAGATACAGAGTCAGAAAAAAAGGTGAACAGAAGCTGTAAATACACCTGTATTATTTCATCAGTTATCAGACATATAAGAGAGAGGAATCATTAATATGTGATGATTTCTGAGAACGACAGAGTACAGGGGGATGTGCACAGACTGGTAATCTTTTGGGTGACTGGTGGTTCTGAAAAACCTATTCACATAACTGAGATGAACTGCACCGCAGAGACTGGCATTGTGAAGCTTGAATTATGCTGCTCAGCTCAAAAGCATAGGGAAGTGCCCCAGGGGCAGGTTGGCCAAAGTTATTGGGGTATCGCAGCTAGGGCTTCTGATGCTCCAGTCTCAGGGATCTGCATCAGTACATGGACAGTTGCTGCTGGGGACGCCCTGGTAGGGAAGGACAAGACTTCTGCTCCTCCTGGAGCCCTCTCCGGAGTTGGGTTACCTTCATGGAGGACCTTGGTAAATCTCTTTGCCCCCTCCCACTGCTAATGTCAAGGCAGTTGCAAGGGAGGTGGAAATGGCAACCACTTCCTGCAAGTCTTCCAACCAGTGCAAAAGCGAAGAGGTGAAGTGTGGGTTTCTTGGGGTGGAGAAATTATCTCCAAACTGACAGCAGGGGGAGACTTCAGAAGGCAGAGTGGCTGTCCTTACCATGTGGAAGACACTACCAGATGAAATTTGTGGATGGTGACTATGCTAGTCACTTATGTAAAAACAGTCATCAGTTTCTCTCTCTCCCTCTCGCTCTCTCTCTCTCTCTCTCTCTCTCTCTCTCTCTCTCTCTCTCTCTTGTTTATAAACCCAGGGGACTACATAAGACCTAATGATTCCAAAGTGCATACTCCAACATGGCCAGTTTTGGTGCATTATGTACTTCTCAACCACTTCCCTTATTGAATATACTTCTTAATTTTTATCTTTATTATTGGTGCATCAAGCCAATGCTGATTACTCAGAGTTATTATGTAAGTTAGAGTTAGGAAAAATGTGCAAACGTAAAATATTACACTTTTCTTACCTGCTAGCCCGTTTACTCCAACTAATCCAGCTGAACTTGCAATGCAGACCAAGTGTCCATGGGCATTAGCAATCATGGCTGGTAGAAAGGCTTTATGAGTCTAAGACAAGCAAAGTGAAACTTTTAATATTTGATACCATTTACTCTTTTTTCAGATGTTTATATGATCATTGTGATTAAAATTTTTTTAAGCTCATAAAAATACCTGAAGGCAATGCAATAGAAAAACTTAAGTATCTGGAAAGTAACCATCTTAACTTGTTTAACCTATGACATTAACATTTTTCCTCATGGCATACCAATATTATTACAAATAGTTTACTCAAACTTATATTTTGCTCATATTTGATTTTTCAAAACACAATATTAACAATAATGGAAGCAATACAGGAGAATCTTAGCTGTAGGCAGCCACAATCCAGAAAGAAAAAGATATCATTATTTAGGTTATAATCAAGACTAAGATTATTTAGATTTCTATTGCTCTTTTTCCCCCTGGGATCATATTTGAATTTCAAATTTTTTTTGAACAGTGTTTACAGGACATGCTGTTGTTGTGTTCGGTGTAAAATATCACTTTGTTTTACATTTATCTCTACTTCTTTGAATAATAGTTTCTTAATTTTGTTCCATGTCATAAAAGAGAATATCTGTTAGAAAGAGCTGATGGATACTGTGTTTGAGGATCACAGAGCACCTTCACTTTTGATAATGGGATTTGGAGAAAGAAGATAAAGGAAAGAGCAATGAGCTTTGAGAGAAAAATGTATTCTGCAACAGAGAAATAATTAACCAATACGAATAACTGCATTTTATTTCATAAATTTATATTTCATATTTGTTTCCTAATATAAACAAATATGAGAAAAATAATCCCTTGTAAAAGTCAACCAACCTTTGTTTGTCTGCATCATCATGAGTTTCAGAGAGAACCTAACACTTACAGAGAGATGGAAAATCTGCTGAGTCACTTCTTCTTGGTGACACTCCCCTTGGCAGCCTTGTCACCGCGTGCTCTCTGACCCTCTAGCAAGTAAGTGCCTACTCTGTGCAGTACTCAAAGAAGGCACCTGGACTTGCTCAGAAAGAGAGTACAGAGTGAGAGAAGGCGTGAGGGCAGGGGCCAGCAGGGAAACAGCAGTATTTCAGAAACATCTAAAGAAAGTGTAAGAGAAAGAGGAGACCAGGAAAGAGACCAGGAAAGCCAAGAGGTGGGAAAAAAACTGGAAAGCTCTGGGAGTGGAGACTTTCAGGGAGACTGTCTTTGTCTTCATTCTGACGGTATATTCCAGTGGTTGGCAAGCTCATTAGTCAACAGAGCCAAATATCAACAATACAATGATTAAAATTTCTTTTGAGGGCCAAATTTTTTAAACTTAAACTTCTTCTAATGCCCCTTCTTCAAAATAGACTCTCCCAGGCCGTGGTATTTTGTGGAAGAGCCACACTCAAGGGGCCAAAGAGCCCCATGTGGCTCTCGGGCCACAGTTTGCCGGCCACGGGTATAATTCCAACTTCATTCTAATGAAGCAGAGAGGCATTTGGGACAAGAGGACGTAAGTCACTTGCAGTAGTTCCTGAAGGAGCATGGTGGCCACTTAGTTCCGAATCTTCCCATCTTTCTCCTGAACACTAAAGAGAACCCCAAGAGTAACACCAGCACCATGGCATTTTTGGCGAAACTAGGAAACAGAAAACATCTGAAGGCTGTGCAAGGAGAGTTGGGTGGAAAGTCCACATGGAGAGGTGTGAGGAGAATGGAGGGGATCTCAGAAATCTCCAGCAAATAATCACTCTCAGAAGCAGAGCTGGACAAGGGAAGGATGAGCTATGAGTGGGGCAGGAACAAAATGGGCTCACGCTCTGGGAGAGGCAGAATGAGGGACCGTGCCCGGCATGGGGCAGCCTGACATGACTGCTCTCAGCGGCAGCCGCCAGGGAAACACAAGGTCTGAAAGTGGACACACGGCTGTGCTCCTTAATGTCCATAGCACGTGGTGACCAGGGTTATTGGTAGGGTTATTGGTACTGACTCAGGAGACCAAATGTTTTGGTTTTCTTAGAACAGACCTGGTTAATGGTGCTAATTTTTTTCAAAAGAGTTGCAGCTTAGGCAAATGGTAAGGTCACCCTAAGGTCAAGTCTAAGAGCTATCACTTGCTGTATAGCCTTGAGTAAGTCTTTTAATTTTTGTGATTGCTTATCTCAAGGAGCTGTTTTAAGGCCTATGCCTGATGTACCTAGGACAGTGAATAAATGATAGTAGTACCATGAGGATATTGTAGGATTTCCCTGGCGAGTTCTGGGAGGTGTGGGTTGAGTTGGATTGGGAGAAGATGACCGAGTAGACCAGGATAAGCTAAAATTGAGAAGGCTGTGCTTGATTTAGAGGCTAATCTTTGTTATGAAAAGAAAAAAAAATTATTACCCACAAATGCGCTTTGAAATTCACATCAAAAGACTTTTCCATAAGCTCATCTGGGCAGTTGAGGAAGTTTTTGCCTGTTACGATGCCAGCATTGTTGATTAGGATGGAAATGTCACCGACTTCTTTTTTAACCTGAATTGAGTAACAAGAGCGGCACCATCAATGTAGTAATTTCTTAGATGCTCTAGGTTTAATTTCCCCCCCAACTTTATACATCTCTTATCCTTGTTAACAGAGACTGAACTTATGCAATCTAAAAACAAAGCCTGGTTTATTTCCTTTGCTGAGTGTACAGTGCATCAGCAATCCAAGTCTGATGCTTTTCTTTTTATTTCTTCTTCTCTTTATGATAATTCCAACAATCCAATGCTTCTTTCCTTCTACATTTAGAGCTATTCTTATATTCAGTGCATAGTAACTTTATTCTATGCTCTAAGAAGAATATAATTTTAATCAATGTGATGGGACATAAGCACTTATAGCCATCCTATATAATAAAAGCCTAATATGCTAAATGTCTGGTTGTCATGTCGCCCGTTCAACTAATCAAAGCATAATATGCTAATGATATGCTAAGGCTGCTCAACCCCTTTCTATGAGGTGCCCTGACCACCAGAGGGCAGACGTTCTGATAGGTAGGTTAGCTTGCTAATGAGGTCCAGCCAATCAGGACTGAGCTAGATGGGCTGGATATGCCCTGAAGCTCTCCACTGTCCCTCCCCAGCCCTGATCGTGCGCTGGTGGGGTCTGAACCCCACCAGGGAAGTTATCTGTAATCAGTGTACGTCAACCTGCCAGGTGACCTGTGCCCTGAACCCTCTCACAATCCAGGACCCCTCAGGGGATGTCAGAGAGCCAGTTAAGGCCCAATCCCACAGGCCAGGCAGAGGGACCCCACTGGTGCACAAATTCATGCACTGGACCTTTAGTGTCATACATATCAAAACCTAGCAGACATAGAGATGGGGTGGTGTAGGGAGTGAATGGAGGAAGTATGATTTTCATCATATCCATGCTTTCAACATCATGGTTCAGAACCTGTCTATCCTGTTTTCATCAACTGGCTGCTTTTTTTCTTCCTCCCCTAAGCTTTTAGGCATAAGATCTGTGAATGGAGGAACAAGTAGGCCTCATTTGCTTCGATGATACTGGGCTTACAATAACATGAGTGGTCATCCTGGGATGAGAGTAAGTGTGTGTTGTTGTATAAGGGGCTCAGCTAAAGGAAAATGCATAAGATCCCAATTTTATACTTAAATTCCTCCCTCCCTTCCTCCCTCCCTTCCTTCCTCTCTCCTTCTTCTCTCCTTCCTTCCTTCCTTCCTTCCTTCCTTCCTTCCTTCCTTCCTTCCTTCTTTACTTCCTTCCTTCTCTCCCTCCTTCCTGGCATTCATTATTCTTCCTTGTTGTAAGAATGTGGCAGCAGTCTATTCAGCCCTGAGTCACAACTACAGGAAGACTTGCACACAAGCTGTTCCCACCTTTTGAACATCCACGCTATGACAACAAGAAGCCACAGGAAGGCTGTGCATGTCAGTGTCTAACTCCACACTGCCCAGGATGGCTGATTTGACTTTCCCACTACTATAAGCCATAGTGGGCATTAGGTTCAAGTCAACGTTTACCAGTGGCCACGTGGTTTAAAAGATGAAGCAATCCTGAAGTTTGACCTTGGACATCTGGAATCAGTAATAAACCTTTAAAAAAATTCACAGATACTACAAATACAAACACACCTCATTTTTACAAATAAGGCAAGATCCTTTACCAGCAAAAAAGATTACAATTCACTTTATTGAGTGGTCTGCAACTGAACCTTCAATGTCTCAGGGGTATGCCTGTAATTGTTTTTTTTTTTTTTCCTTTTTTTTTTTCTGTTGAACCAATGAAATTAGAGGTATCCCAAGCAAAATTGATCATGATTTGGCTTGTCTAAGGCATCACAGTCATTAAATATATAATTAGGACACTTCCACATGCCACATTAATGATAAGACTGTAGCTCTAGGCTTATCTTATGTTCACTGTTCCAAATGACCTCTCACCCAGAATGCCAGGTATCAAGGCTGGACTTTCAGTGCCAACCATGCTCTAGGGACACAAACTTTTGAGGAGCTAAAACACTGTCAAACTGCTCTGACAATTTTCACCTGGGTCACTCCTCTATGGCATACTTTGTAAAATTTCTCTGGTAGCTTCCCTCTATCCAGAATAAGAAGTAGAAGTACTTGGTTTATAAGGTGGAAAGTAGTTTGCTTCTCCTGAATACAAAAGAGCATATGCTTAATTGTCTGCAAGACCCAGAAGAAAATGAAATACTAGGCTAGTAAATGCACATTGTTTGACCATTTCCAAAGCTGAGCATTTTGGGCAGAACTAAATTAAGTATATGGAGCAGAAGGAACTAATTATTTATGGAGCGCCTCACCTTAACTTGTTCCACAAGTGAAGATGCTGTGTTTGAACACAAGCCAGTTATTGCTTAAGACCTGCCAGGGAAGTTATCTGTAATCAGTGTACGTCAACCTGCCAGGTGACCTGTGCTTCTAGGACAAAGAGCTGAACTTGTGAGGTCAGCTCTGAAAAAGACACAACTGCTCTTTTTGCAGGGTGGTTCCAGCAGAAGCCTATGTTAGCTTGTCAGGTATGGGTTTCCAGACTGTTCTGGGCAGCCTGTGATTGGAGATGGTAGAACAGATGTGTAAAATGTAAAAGACAAACTCAAATGAAAGTTGCAAATTCACTCAATGGCCAGTGGCCTGCAAACCTTCCCACTAGTTTTGAGCAGAGAAGCTGTGCAAGAACTTTCCAATGTGGTTGCTTGCTTGTCACAAGTTGGTCTACTTCCCCCTTCTCACTAAATGAAGGAACCCTGGAGTCACAAAAGAAGTGGCCCTGTAGAATGGCGTGTAGAATACTTGTGTCAACATGAAGACAGATTCATCCTTAATAAGGAAAGAAGACAGCCAGCAAACAATAAGTTCCTCTACGAACTAAGAAAACCCTACCATTGGCATATTGGAGCTTTGGTTTCCTGGAATTGTTCTAAATATGTGCATCTCTGTCACCACTAAAGGAACAACTGAGGTTAACAGTCTTTAGGATGAATAAAATATTCTGATTTTCTCATGACAACTTAGGAGAAATACACATGCAAACCAAAGGCACTGTGGTGGAGTGGAAATAGCTGGATTTAAAATTAGACTAAAGATGGGTTTACATCCTGGCTTAGTCATGCAGATACATATATCTGTGCCTCAGTGTCTTCATCCTCAAAGATGGTGCTATCACCTATCTTACGTTATGATAGGGGCCAGAACAGTCAGTATAGAGTGGTGGTTAGAGTGAGCCAACAGGCTCCTGTCCCAGCTGTCACTTTGCTACATAACGCATTATCTTTTTCTTAGGTAAGTTATTTACCTGTCCTAAGTCTTGGTTTTCTCATTTGTGAAATGGAGGTACTAATCGGCTTTACTTTATAGGATTATAATATATGATGCATACAGGGTGCTAACGTGGTGTATTGCAAACATTCTAATTTCCACTCCCCCAAACTTTTAATTAAAAGAACATTGGAGATAGGCAAATTGGCACTGAGAAAAGCAAACAGATAAACTGATATAGGTCCAAGTATTTACATAGAGTTCTGACTACCCACAGCCGAGAGTAAGCGCCCAAAATTTACCTGGTCGGCTACTCGATACACCTCTTCCTTTCTACTGCAGTCACAGGTGTAGGCATAGGCTCTTGTGGCTCCAGCGTCCTGAGCCATCTTGCACGTCTCCTCATTTCCCTCCGTGTTGATGTCCCAGAGAACAAGCACAGCTCCAAGGCGGGCAAACTGAAGGGCTAAGAGCCTTCCGAGTCCACTCCCAGCACCAGTTATGAGTACGATTTCACCAGCGACATCCTTCCTTGGCTTTGGGATTAAGGTGAAAATCGCAGTCTCCAGAAGACTAAATACTGATTTCCCTAAGAAAACGAGTAATTTCTTGGCTGACTTCATGTTGGGAGCCATATTCTGACTGAAACCTATGAAGACAGACAGACAAACTCATGTAAAGGCCTTGGCGCCTGCTCCCTCTAAGTGTGCTTGCTACATGGAGCTCATGCTTCCTGAAACATTGAAAGAAATTGAGAAGCATGATTTAAACATCTCTCCTGGTAACAGACTCCGAATTTAGAGAAAGTAGGGGACCCACTGGGACTGACTCTTGGCCAGCACCAAGATCACACATCTGCATGCCCACTTAGCTTTGTTCATGAACAAATGTCATTAACCAGGAACTGTAACTACATCCAAATTTAACCCAAAGAAGACATTCATTCTCAGAGCGAACCTTTTCTCCTAATAACCACGAGTCCTATTGGCTGATTTATGTTCAAAGTCTTGAGCATATTGAAATGTTGATGATATAACTGCTACATCTTTGCTTTTATTTCTGTCTCCTTTTAGGTTCGTGTTTTCTCCTTTGCATTGTTGTTCTTAAATTCCGTGTCACTATTTAAAATGTGAGATTCAAGAGAAAAATATAAAATCCTATTTGCATAATGTACTTTAAGAAGACTAATTAGACCTTCTAAACCAGTGGTTCTCAACCTTCCTAATGCCTCGACCCTTTAATACAGTTCCTCATGTTGTGGTGACCCCCAACCATAAAATTATTTCTGTGGCTACTTCATAACTGTCATTTTGCTACTGCTATGAATCACAGTGTAAATATCTGTGTTTTCCGATTGTCTTAGGCTCTACAGCAGCGGTTCTCAACCTGTGGGTTGAATCTAAACCTTTTCTAAGGAATTCACTGTCAGGTCTGGGGCCCCCACGCCCTATCCCTTGCTGCTCAGACCTATGGTTGTGGGACATCAGTGAGAGACAGGTCTGGATTCCTGTTCTGCCCTGCCCCTGCTTGGCTGTGAAACCTGGGGCACACTCCATAGCCTCTCTGGCCGAGGTCTCGTCATCTCTACTCGCTGGTCCTGTGGCACAGAGTAGTTTTGCAGTTGAAAAAAAAAAATATATGTCATGTGCTTGACCCCTGCTGGCTCACAATGCTTTACCAACGTTATCATGTTTCTCAGATACACGCGGCTGCTCACCAACTAGGTGAATGAATAACAAATCTCTTCCTGACAAGCGTGTTCTGTGCTCCACACTTACATCCTGCTATCCGTTACTCGCACTTCAGTGGAATGAGTTTATAATATGCTTTAGTAACACCTCCCTGGGGGCGGCGGGGGGGGGGGGAGGGGGGAGAAGGAAGGTCTGATTTCCTCTGGGATGAGAAGATGTGTTTAGCAGGGGGCATGCTGTGGTGGGGGTGGGAGGGTTTCCTGAGTGAGGAGCTATAGAGAACAGACAGAGGAGGGCAGGCAATGTCCATGAAAGGACAGCAGGTCCTCCCTTTGCAGTTTGGTTGAGGGTAAACTAGTTACTATCGATGACTATGAGTGGAGAGGGTCATTTAGAGGAGGGCATGGAGTGTGGTTGCACCCTTCAGAAATTATTGTGACCAAAACTGCTGTCCCTTGGCTCACTCCACAGAAGAGACTGAGGATCAGGAAGAATGTGCAGGCTGTTTATCCAAGGCCCCTGTGCTAGCTGGTGCAGGACCGGGTGTTCATTTATCATATGTGTTGAGCATTGGTGCTGGGCACTGGGGCTTAGGGGATGGGCAGGCTCCTGTATTCTCTGGCCTGGTGAGCTAAGGATCTAGTTGAAGAGATAGACATTAAATGAATAAATACATCATCACAACCCATCTATTTCTTTATATAAAAGCTGACGTGACCGAATGACCGTTTGACCGTTTGACCGTCACTATGATGCACACTGACTACTAGGGGGCAGAAGCTCAATGCAGGAGCTGCCCCCCTAGTGGTCAGTGCACTCCCACAGGGAGAGCACCGCTCAGCTAACTGACAAGCACCAAATGCTGGGCTCATGGCTGGAAAATGCACTTGGTGAGGTGAACCTCTCCCTCTCCTGCCTCTGCAGCTGCACACTGGGCAGGGGCAGGTACGGCAGGGCTGGGATGAGTGGGAGTTGCCTGGGCTCAGGCTCCTCCCCAGCCACCTGCTGCTTGGTGCACTCCTACATCCCTCGAGGGATATTGGACTGCCAGTTTTGGCCCGATCCCCAGGGATTGGGGGAAACCAGCCACCCAAATCAGCAGTCTGACTTCCCCAGAGGGGTCCTGATTGCTCCAGGGTACAGGCCAGACTGAGGGACCCCAAATTTGTGCACTAGGCTTCTAGTAGATTTATAAAGAAAAGTGCAGGGAGCTATACAGAATAGAAAGGAAATATAATTTAAATTGTGGTCAAGGTTAAAAGCACTAGGAGAGGTTTTCGGGGAATGGACATTTGAGTGGATATCCATATGACAAATGGTGAGAGGTAGACAGATTTGGGAGTAGCTCACCCACTAGAGGGACATAAGAGTTTAAGCATTAAGGAAGGTTTTACCTGTGTGACCAGGGAATAAGAATGCTGGCAGTGGGGGGCATGGATATTCTGGTTAAACAAAGAGTGTTTTCTGCTATGGCACACCTTTCACCATCCTTGGAATGAAATGGCCTTCACACCCTCTGGCATCTTTGTTCAAATTTATTTTCACAGAGTAGCTTGGGCGTACCAGGCCCTGACAGGGAACAGTGGTATTCAGACTCTTATATTAAACTAGAGGCCCGATGCATGAAATTCGTGCATGGGGGAAGATGGGGGTTGTCCCTTGGCCCAGCCTGCATCATCTTCAATCTAGGACCTCTCAAGGGATGCTCGACTGACCCGTTTAGGCCCTATCCTGGTAGGATAGGGCCTAAACAGGCGGTCAGACATCCCTCTCACAATCCAGGACTTCTGGCTCCCAGCCACTTACCTCTATCTGTCTGCCTGATCACCCCCAACTGCCCTCTCCTACAGGCCTGGTCCCCCCCCAACTGCCCTTCCCTGCAGGCCTGGTACCCCCAAACTCTTCTCCCTGTCCCCCAACTGCCCTCCCCTGCTGGCCATCTTGTGTCCACATGGGGGCGGCCATCTTATGTGTTGGAGTGACGATCAATTTACATATGACTCTTTTATTAGATAGGACAGTCATGGGGTGTGTACCTGCAGACCTGCTAGGATGAGGGTCAGATTTTCCCTCCCCAGGCAGCAGCCAAGGCACTGCCAACACTCCTTCCACAAGAAAGCCAATACCAGGTCACCCATGCCCCTTTTAGGCACACCACTACCTAATTCCTAAGGGAAGCTGTGAGAATTAAATGAGTTAATGCAGGTGCACTATTAAGGAGTGTTATATGGTTATATGGTCAGTACTACTACATAGGAAACTTTTTTTGGGGGGAAGGGGGGCAGGGAGAAGAAGGTCCTCATTGCCCTCTCCAGGGTGCATGGGCTGGGGGTGGGATGGGACAAGAGGAGCTGGGCTAGATTTTAGGGCCTGCCAGGTTACAGGCCTTGGTAGAACAGTGCTAGGCACATAACAACAGCAAAATAAATATCCGCTAGAGCTATGACTGGTGTTATTTCTAGCATGGGAATTCATAATCCCTGGCTATACCAATTAAAGATGATTAAGTATGCTTACAAACAAAAGTAAAGCATTAAACTATAAAGTCTCATTTTAGTGTAAAGATTCTTCCTTACATTAGGAAATGACAGCTTACTAAATTTAATCTGGCCCAGGCAGGCCCTGGCCAGTGTGGCTCAGCGGGTTGGGCATCGTCCTGTGCACTGAAAGAAAGTTTGTCAGTTAGTTCCATTGGGTTGAGGCACATCCCGGGTAGGGGGCGAGCAGAAGGCGGAGTATGATTCTCTCTCACTAAAGAAGAAAACTAAATTTCATCAGGCTAAGGACTTCTTTGATGTCTCCATCCCATATCCTAGTCTCCTAGTCCTGTGGTGGGCAAACTGCGGCTCACAAGCCACATGCGGCTCTTTGGCCCCTGGAGTGTGACTCTTCCCCAAAATACCAGGGCCTGGGCAAGTCTATTTTGAAGAAGTGGAGTTAGAAGAAGTGTCAGTTTGAAAAATGTGGCTCTCAGAAGAAATTTCAATCGTTGTACTGTTGATATTTGACTCTGTTGACTCGTGAGTTTGCCGACCACTGCCCTAGTCCAAAAGCTGGTGCAATGGAAACAGGTGATGGGTACTTCACAGGCTGGGGGGCGGCAGCAAGGAGGTCCTGGGAATGGGAAGGGTGAGGGCCCAGAGGGGATTGGGAAGGGAGAGGAAGCTGCATCCAGCAGCAGGGAGCAGGGCACCTAGGCTGAATGGGCCCAAGAAGGGACCAGGGAGTCACCTACCCTCTGCTCCGGGTGGGGGAAGGAGGCAAGCAGCTCACCCACAGGGGCTGGGTGCCGCCGGGCCTGGATGCGGGGCGCTTTTTAGGACTCGCCCCGCGCTCCTCCCGCGCCCCCTCCGGAGCCACTCCTCCCAGAGGTTCTGCCCGGTCCCGGGACCCGGACTCCGCCAACTCACCGGGACCCGCTGCCCTCGCCGCGCGGGGAAGCCACCAGGTCCTCCTCGGGCTCCGCAGCTCTGGCCGGGGCCCCAGGCTCCGGGATTTATGGGCACCTGCTGCAGACGGCGTCGGAAGGCGGGTCGGCCGCGCCCCCGCAGGGGGTGGGGCGGTGCGGGGCTCCCGGTGCCGAGCGGGTCCCGCTCCCTCGTTTCCACCCGGCGACTAGATGGAGATGCTGGGAATGAGATCCTGCAGACCTGATGCGCGACAGGCGCCAGGAATCCAACGCGAGAAGCGCCCGCGGAAGTTCAAAATGCCCAGCCTGGGCCAGGCTGCTCCCCGGACTATGCAATCAGAATTTCCCAGTTGGAAGGACTCGGCGTGTTTCCAGGCACAGCCCCGACGCGGGGAGGGAGGGAGCCCTGGTGCTGGAGAACAAAGAGGGAGGCGGGTGCGGAGGCCGTGCAGGGGAGGGAGCCGGTCCGGCGGGTGCAGCCGGCCGCGCTGCGCTCAGAGGCGGGGCTCGGCCGTAGCATCCGAGGCTCCTACCTGGGATCCAGGTTATCAGCTGCCGCGGGGAGCGGTATGGGTGTGGGAGAGCCTCCGGCAGCGAGTGTAGTGGCGGAGTGGAGGGCAAGGGGGAAAGTTTGTTCATCCAGGTGAGGTTGAGGAGAGGAGAGAGAGAGATGCAATCAGTATTTATTCATCTTCTTCGTGTACAAGAATCCAGAAAATACAGCAGTGCCACATCTGCCCCCCCCCCCAATAAAATAATATAAAAAAGATAGAGATCACTTAACATTAGCTAATCATCTACTATAAGCAGAGCTCCCCATGGCACACTTGTAATAGAGGATGGAGTTAGATGGGTGGCATCAGGAGCAGTGCTGTTTAAAAAGGGTTGTCAGGACAAGGTTGCGTTTGGAATTCACCCAGGGTCGGGGAGAATGCATCTAAGTGACAAGTGTTGAAGACTCAGAAGAGAGCAGGGTTGGTCAACCTGTGTCTGGGACAGACCTGGGCGTGTGAGGGCTGCACATGTGTTCTTTATTTAGCTGTGAGAAGAAACAGGTGAGTTGTGTAAGTCTGGAAAAGTAGGTGCCGGGGAGAGCCTGGAATGCCATTTCGGTATTTGATGAAGAGACTTGTATTCTGTAGGCAGTGGTGAACTGTGGCAAGCTGTGGCAAGTGTTTGAGAAGCTATCTGATTGGAAAGTGAATGGGCAGATGTGTGTGCACTGAGTTCAGTGTGGGCGCTCTGATTTCAGTGTGGGCATGCCTCTGGGGACTACAGGTTGTGTTTTTTTTTGGTTGTGTTTTTTTTTAGGGGGGGGGGAGGAGAAGGCGTAGACATATTCATGAACTGCTCATGTCTGGATGATAGACTTGCACGCCCGGTGCCCCTGTGCATAGGGCACCTCACCAGCCTGGATGAGGAGAGGGCTGGGCTGGCAGGGCTTACAGACTTCAGAGACAGACTGGGACAAGGTGTGGAGGTGAGCAACACCTGGGAATGAGAGTGCCTAAGACAGGGAAGGGTGGGTAATGGGACCAGGGCTGTATAGCCTGCCTGCAAGAGTGAACATTATAGAACAACCAATCTTAAGTCATCTTCATGGTTTCTCTGAGCAAAACCCTGGGCTCTCACTCTACTTTCTGGACAGCAGTTTAGAGTAGACCTGAAGAAAGGGATCTCAAGCCGTAACTGGTTTGGTTCAGTGGATAGAGCGTTGGCCTGCGAACTATAAAGGCCCCAGGTTTGATTCTGGTCAAGGGCATGTTCTTTGGTTGCAGGCACATCCCCAGTAGGGGGTGTGCAGGAAGCAGCTGATTGATGTTTCTAACTCTCTATCCCTCTCCCTTCCTCTCTGTAAAAAAATCAATAAAATATATATATATATATATATTTTTTAAAAAGAAAGAAATCTTAAGCATTGTTAGAAATCTCATTAAAACAAAATAGGAGTGCAAAGAAATGAGGTTTCACTGATGATGTAATTAAAGGATCTGAACTTGAGCACTGCTGTTTGGAGGAGGCCTCACTTTGACTTGACGTGGGGAAACTCTTGACCATAATCCTGAAAACTAAGAAAATACTTTTAAAGGGTCCTTTGTGGCCAGGAATAGACAGTTAATTTGTGATGGAAAATGCAGAATGGGCTAATAAGTTATGAAACAGATGCTCAAACTTCATTCTCAGTTGGAGGAAACAGTTCTAACCTTCCAAACCAGTAAATGTTAAAAGAAAAAGAATGGCTTCATACAGGGTTGGTGTAAATTATACATTTCTAGAGCAAGTATTTATCACCCAATTCCACCTATGGGACTTTATATTTACAACAAAATTAGGTATAACTTTAACTTCAGGAAGGGGAACTGGTCACCAGGAGTCAAAGATTGGGAAAGAGACTTAAAAAATGATTAAATATTTATTGTTGAAAATATTACATATGTCCCCTTTCCCCCTCATTGACTCCTTTTAACCATTGTCTGTGTCCATGGGTTATACAATTTCTTTGATTGATCCCTTTCCACCCACCCACCCTCCAACCTCCATCTTCCCTCTAGGATAGAAGACTTTTGACTGTTTCAAACCATGAAAATGTACTACTCTTTCTAGAAATAAGTATAATGATTAATTTCTAAGAAATATGTGTGCATGGAGTGCTCTACAACCATTTTTTATAAAGTCATATTTTTCAAGTATATAGAAAATACTCTGCGCATAGTGTGAGTTAAGGAAGCATAGTATAAAAATAATTGTATAATATGATGCTACATTTCTATGACAATTTTATTTATATGCAGAGAAATTCTGGAAGTGAATTCACCAACATCTTGGCATTTTTTTTTAGTATCAAATAGTAGAATTTTGATTGATTTTTCTCCTTTTTCCTTTAGAATTTTCCAAATTTTCTATTATGTGCACATTTTTACTTCATAAAAAATGTTTTTTTAGAACATACAAAGACATTTCCATTAAGATGACAGACTGAGCATTTATATCCCTTTTCCAAAAGTCCACTGAAATGGAAGGGAAGATATAAAAGTGAATGAAAACATAACAGGGACTAGCAGTGAGGATTGACCAGAGGTTGGTAAGGAGATGGATCCCATTTCCAGAAACCAGAATCAAAGATACCTTAACACACCCTGGGAAGGCTCTACAGAAGTGAGTCATTCTTTCCAACAGAAACCTGGAGTAACTCCTACTCAATAAACAAACACAAAGAGTGGAAATAGGACATGGAATACGAGTCTTGACATAAAAAGACAAAACAATGAATGAATTGAAATAAAATGCAGGTAAATTATTTTGTAATTTGGGGCTAGGCATAATTTATGGCATTTCTATAAAAGAGTAAGGCTGTAGGAAAAGTGGGTCAAGAAATGCATAGGCAATTCATAGGCAAATGACTGAAAAGATAATAAATTTCACTGGCATTCAGGAAAATACAAATTGAACAGGCACTTTTTTTTTGTTCATCATTATTGAGGTATTAAAAAGTGGATATTAATAATTAGATATAAATCCAGGAGTGATGAGTGGTGAGGGTATGGAGACACAGGCATTCTCAAGTACTGTGAGTGCAAGTGGAAGTTGATGTATTTTTCATGGGAGATAGTTGGGATGCAGCTATCCTGCCTTTTGACTCTGCTCTTTCCCATGTAGCAGCATAGGAATATTGGCATTTGTGCAGAAAGAATTATCATTGGAGCTTTTTTGCAATATCCCCCAAAACAAACAAACAAAACCAACCACAGAAACTACTTAAATGCGAGTCTATTCCATTAACCATGGTGTAGTCGTATAATAGAATCCTATGAAGCTGACAAAAAGAATGAATTTAGAATTATATTTACTGGTAGGGAAAGGTCAGCAGGGTGTAAGTGGAAAAAAGTACAGAATTACTTCATGGAAGTTACATTGATATTGTTCATATGTGTGTGTGAAATACAGATGGAAATGCAAGAGGAATGGATCTAATGCATACACACTACACTGTTCATAGTGGTTACCCCTGGCAGGCAACAGAATTGAGTAAGGCACATGCAGAGAGGCTTCCTGTGTTATGATAGATGTATCTGTATAGTAGGCTTTTTACAAATATCTTGGATTATCTACATATATATAAAAGCCTAAGTGACCGAATGACAGGTCAACCAGTTGCTATGACATGCACTGATCACCAGGGAGCAGATGTTCAACACAGGAGCTGCCCCTTGGTGGTTAGTGTGCACCCATAGCCAACCTCCTGCGACTGGCCAACCTCCTCCTGGCCCACCAATCTCCCTTGGTCCCTCCCCACACTGGCCGGCCCCGATTGGCTCTGATTACCGGCCAGGCCAAGGGACCCCATCTGTACACGAATCCATGCACCAGGCCTCTAGTTTTATAATAATAAAAAAACCAAAATGATTGAAATGTACATATTTTCTGTTTAAAAAATACTTTAAAAAATTCTTTCTTGTTTAAAAATACTTGTTTTAAGAACATAGTGTCTTTGGGGATTACTTTGCAAAATAGTGGAAGAGGTCCGTCACCAGATGACACATTCAAAATATGTTAGGTTTCCTGAAATGTATTCTTTTGCAGTACTATCTCGATTTTGGTAGGGGTTATAAAATTCCCTGAGAGGACCAGAATGAGCTTAAGGAGACATTTGCTTGTTCCCTGGTGAGAGGAAAGCAGTGTTCATTGTGAAGGAAGAGAAAACAAACACACCTGCCTCCTGTGAAGGAAGGAAGAACAATCCAGAAGAGTAAGTCATGTAACAGTTGAAGGCGGCAGGCCGCATGTGGGCTGCCACCTTGTTGGGTAAAGTAACCCCATACCAAAGAAACTCTAAAGTTTCAGAAAGTGAAGGTCCCGAAGTCCCGGGAAGACAGTGCTCGGCCTGGGCACATGACTGGAATTCATGTGTACTACCTCCCAGAGGGCTGGTCACACAGCCAAAGGACCCTGCACCCCAGAGGACTGCTGGAGTGAGACAAAAGGACGTGTTGTTATAAGTTTTGTTAAACCTTATTGATTCCAAGATCATTATCATCTCAAACAAACCTTTTTTTTTTTTCTTTTTTCTTTTTCTTCCTTTCTGAGTAATCACAGTGTGAGTGGCATGGTAATGAGATTACGGAGATTTGGCCTGGTTTGTTACACCAAACATTGCTTAAATCATGTAGGAAGACAGTCCAAACACAGCCAGTCTCATAGCACAGATTAAGTTTTTCCTCTTTTTATCTGGCCTCTCTCTTCTTAGATTTCTTCTCTCCTTGGATTCTGTTTTGGATCAGTGGAAATCACTAACTGTCTGTATTAACTAGAGAACAAGTTGTTGGGGGATATGTGGTCAAGGATGAGGAGCAAGGCAGACAATCTGTCCCTCAGCTCCCATCCTATAAAGATTCATTGAGGCACTAGGAGCCCAGTGCTTGAAATCGGGCAGCACTGCCCACCCACCTGCAGCCCTGCCTTGACACCCGAACCTGTCCACACAGAGCTCAGCATGCTGACCCAGCCCCCAAACTCTCTGGCTTTCTCTGGCCACTTCAAGCCCCGCCCTCAGTCCCTTCAGTCTCCTCTGGCTGGTCCCGCCTTCTCTGGGTGCCTCCCGCTTCCGCCCCATCTCTGAAGCAAGGTGGTGGCTCTGCCCCAACATGGCACTGGAGGAGAGTGTGGAAGCCTCCCACCTGCTGCGCTGTGCTCCTTCCCCTGGCAGGTGGGCGGTGGGGCACTCAGAGTCCCAGCAGTGGGTGGCAAAGGACTAGTGAGGGGGTTGCTATGGGCTCTCACCCCTGCCTTCCTGTTCACGGGCTGGTCCCGCCTCCTCCGGGCAGTCTCCAGAACAACACCCCAGCTAATATGCTAAAGGCCCTGGTTGTTACCTGTTATGGTGTATCGGCCATTAGCATAGTAGCTCTTTATTAGTATAGATAATTTGCATGCTGTAAAATTCACTCATTTCAAGTATACAGCTAGGATTTTATTTAATAAACTTACATAGTTGTGTCATTAGTTAAGCATTATTGGGATACATTCCTTCACATCAGTAAGTTCTGCTGGGAGATTT